GGAATACTTTAATCTTTTATAAAATCCCAACTGCTTTTATGTTCTGCGAGCCCACTAAAAGAGGTTCTAAGAATACCACCAGTAACCAAACCGCAGCCTAATATAGCAACAGTAAGCACAGGGAATACTTTAATCTGATAATCAGCAATACCAATTAACACCCAGAGAATAGCAATAGCAAAATTAGAATCGGCGAATGGATAATATTCTGCAATTAATAAACCAAAAATTATTAAAATAGCTAGAGCAATAACAGATAGAAGAACAGTATCAAGAGCGGGAATAGCAATCCAAAAACATAGAATTGTAGTGTATAAAGCGAAACCACCCCAAAGAGAAAATGGTACACGAATGAAAAGATTGTCAAAAAACCCTCTGGTATGATAATACAAATCGATAGTAAGACATATATATGCTATAGCTCCAAATAATAATAAATTTATAATTGCAGCAATGAGATAAAGTTTGAATATCTAAAAGAAAATAAAGAATTAATTAAATTAATTAAAAGCATAAAAAAAAAAAGTACGCGATGTAAAGAAATAGAGAGAGAAAAAGAGAAAAAAAGAGTATGTTACCCATAGAATACACCAACCAATATTCAGAACTGCAGCAATAATAAAGTAATAAGAAACACCATCAATAACAAGGTCGTACCCATCGCCCGTTATAAACCATTGGTAAATAACAAAAATAGCAAGCAAAAAATAAATCGGAAATAGGATTCCAAAAGTATAAGTTGCGGGAGTAATATAAGTGTATAAACTGGATGAATTTTGAGTGTTGGTGACATTATTATTATCACTGCTGCCTGGGAATGATTTTGTTGTAATTAGTGTAAGGGTTGCTATGCATATTAATAAGATAAATACAAGAAGGTTTAAGGATTTTAGAAGATTCGGATGCGGTTTCATTTCTTTTTTTTTTCGTACAGAAATTTTAAACCCGTGAAAAATTGGGCTTTATTCATTGAAAAGCATGATAGGTTAATGCGCCTCATTTTTTTTGTTGATGTGTTTTTCTGAATTGCAATTGATATCAACAAATATTTACCCAATATAATCACATGACCAATAGAACTTTTTGTTGTAGTAATAATTAATCATGAGTTTATAAAACCCAACATTATCGTTAACTGCAATCATCACTTTTAATGTGTCACTCGTTCATAAGAAGTAATTTCTAATTCATGTAGATCAGTGTATTGACCAATAAAATTACGAAATTTAATAAAAGAAGGATTCAAAACAATTTGTTATGCTGTATAGCAATATTTGTATTTTATTTAAGTAATATTTAAGTGATCTTTCACTAAGACGCGATGTTACCTTTTAACCTATTTTACAAAATTAGCGCTATATTAATGTGTAAAGTATAAGTCACTCTATCAACATAGTGCATTAAACAATTACATAAAAAGGTAAACTAGTCTTGATTCCAAATTTCGTAATTATTTATAGCAATTACTAAACGTAGTAATGGTAATATGTCTTTTAAGTATACCTAGTAAATGTAGTAAATGTAGTAAATGTTAGCTTTCGTTTAGAACTGGGGTGGCTTTTGTGGCGATTGTTATTAGTGGAAATTTACGATCCAAAAAATAATACTTTAAGTGCATAAATAAGTTAGTTGGGCAATTTAGTTATCACAACTTTGATATAGAATGATAATAATGAATGTTATTGAGTGGCTTTCATAAATATTATTAAGCCTCAATTAATACATAAACTAAGCCATTCAAGAAGCCACTGTATTACAGTGAAGCTGCATTGCCACACGTGTCATGTGCTCGAATTCCATCTAATTTTATATTTTAGAATTGGTCACTTGATGAATTTTCAGCGTAAAATAACATTATACGTTGAAATTTTTGCAAACTATTAAGACTAAATATATAATATCTTGTGAAACCTTTAATCTGATTATAGTGATGATTCTGTATAAAGAGAATCTTAGATTACAATATTAAACGAAATCAACAGGGTAAAAAAAATTGGTTAAGCTAGGTGAGGTTAGGGATGAGTTTAAACAAAGTGGACAAATGTTAAAATAGGACTCGCACGAAAGGAATTTAATGTTACAAAATTTCGAGACATTCAAGATTTCTTTAAAATGAGAGTTTTTTTGAATTTTTGTTTACGCTGTTAAACTTTTTCCGACTTACAGGAAGCTTTTGTTCAACATAAGGTCGCTTAAAGTTGATTAGTTGGTTAACGTCATTATCTTTGGCTTCAGGCGTGGGGGAAACACATATATGCCGCAGAGTATTGATTTAAATCTCATTGGTCAGATTTAATCACATGATTTTTCCTGTGTTGTGATTGGTGTTTAATTTTTGGGGGATGACGTTAACCAACTAATCAACTTTAAGCGGCCTAAACTGTAAAAGGATTTTTTAATACTAGGTATGTACGTACGTACTTGTTAAATAACGAGTGAGGAGGTACAAATAAACGAGTACTAGAAGTAATAGAGGAATGAAAAGAAGAATAGCTTTTGCAAAAGTTTATATGCGTATATGTGACATAGAATAAAACTCAATCTTGTATGAATACAATTGATGCGTTATTACTACAATGACACGATTTGGAAGAGTTTTAAGCTCGAGTAAATAAGTATATAAAATAGACTCGCAAATAAACTTGCATGAAGAAAAATTTTATTAAAGCACGTAAAATAGTTATACAAAAATTTCGAGATTTTTTTGATCGTTTATTTTGATTTTGACTTTTTTATTGGCTATTCGATCGTGTATCTGGTATTGTCTCAAAATTACGTTACATCAGTAATATCACTAACACCAACCATTCGAACTAACCATTTGATGTATTATAATTGGAAAAGTCACGTGAATGCGACTTCGATAATTGACAAACTAATAGTTAAGAAACAATCTAAAAAATTCTTATTATAATTCTGAAGCAATAATTAGTACAGTGAACTTATGAGATAGCTTTACAGTACATTGAGTATATTAAATACATCAAGTTTAAATACATCAAGTACATTAAGTACATTGGAGCTTTCGACTTACAAAAGATGACTTTTGTTTAATACAACCTAATACACGTAATTTACACAACTTTGTATCTCGATGAAAAGATAGATCTTTATTCTATTCATTTATTTGTGGGGCTTTGTTAAATATTTACAAATGGGTGGCGGTGTTTTAGTTATACCAAGATTTTCAACTAAATTTTGTTATTGCATTAATGCAAGTAACTGAATTTTTGATCATGTGATTAAGAAGCAATTTGGAGTTTCGAATAAACAATAGTTGATTGATTATCTTTGTAAATATTACTATGCCCCACACAAAGATCAAAACCTCCGATTTT